AAAAAATGTATGCACGAAGTAAGGAAATGAACATTTATTAATCTATGTATTTGTTAAATACATGGAAAATACCTACTATGTGCTGGGCACTGTCCTAAGCACTTTACAAATATTATCTCATTTGATCCTCATATCCACCCTGGGAGGTAGGTGCTATCCCTGTTATTCAGTTGAGGACACTGAGGCTGACAGAAGTTAAATGACTTGCCCAGGGTCACACAATAAGTTTCTCAGGCCAGATCTGAGCTCAGGTTCAAACACTTTTAAGTTTAATATGAATTATTAACATTAAGCCCTAATTTGTGGTGTTTTCTGATTTCTGAGGTATACGCTCACACTGACAACTTAACAATTGGTTCTAGCAATCTGGTGGGTTCAGGCTGGGCCTGGAGTCAGGAAGAAAGGAATTCAAATCCAGTTTCAGACATTTACTACCTGTGTAACCTCAGGCAAGTCATTTAAATCTGTTTGCCTCAGCTTCCTCATCTGTAAAATGGGGGCTCTACCTCCCAGGGTTGTTGTGAAGATCAGATGAGATAACAATTGTAAAATCCTTAGCATAATCCTGGGCACATGGTAAGCTCTATATATACATAATAGCTATCATTATCATTATTAGTGGTAACAAGTTGGTTCAATCACATCCTTAGACTACATTATCTTTAAAGTTGCTTAGAATTGCTCCAAAGCAGATGATCCTATGCTATTAATACCATTTTGTCAGGAGCACATAATATTTAGTAATTTGCTTCACACAGTACTTATTGCCTTCCATATGTCTTTTCATTGTCCTTTGGGTCACCTACAATTTTGATTCTTTTGAAATGGGGATGTTTTATGATTCTCAACCATATGGCATCATCAGAATACTTGCATTAAAGCATGGGCTTTTGCAGCAAAGAGAAGCTCGGGATTATTGGAAGCACCACTGAATAATTTCCCAAATACAATCCAGCCTGCTCTTCTTCTCTTCTATTCTGGGTCCAATTCATTGTCTCTTTGTATATGTGCAGGTAAATATAATACAAAGCAGGACATAATAAATGCATAAGTAAAGGTACAAAGTGGTACAAGTGAGAGGTTACTTCCAGTTGAGGATATCAGGGAGAGCTTTGTAGTAGAGCTATAAGTTCTTGGAAGTTAGATTATCTTTTATTTTGCCTTAATATTATGTTATCAGGGGCAGCTAGGGGACGCAATGGATACAGTGTTGGGCCAGGAGTCAGGAAGACATCTTCCTGAGTTCAAATCCGGCCTAAGACACTTACTAGCTGTGTGACCCTGGGCAAATCACTTAATGCTGTTGAGTGGAATAGAGACCACTTACCCAAATAAAAACTCAGGTAGAAAATAGGTTTTATTCTAGCAAGTCTCGCAGGAGAGTTGGGCGTCTCCTACCCAGGGTAGACTGGTGTAGAGAGGCGAAGCACAAACAACAGCAAGCAGTATATATAGTATTAGACAAACCACTCCAAAAAGCCCCCCTCCCCACCCGTTTGTCTCAATCTCTTTATCCTCATTGGCTGAGGCAAGAGACCTCCCAGTCTATATTTAGAACCCAAGAGATAACCTTTTACTCAAAACTAGCTTGGGAGCTAGAAGATTGCCTTACTTGGTAAAGTTAAGGCACAAAACAACAGAGGGGGTGGTTACAAAACAAGGGAGGGGGTGGGCAGCTGGTGCACAACCCCCCTTGCCCAGAAACGAAAGTGAAACTTAGGCCCAGCTCATGCTGAAGCCTTACTACATTTATGGAGCATAGCTTACATCTTACATGAGAAACTTTCACTTGTCCCATACAGTGTTTACCTCAGTTTCCTCATCTGTAAAATGAGTTGGGGAAGGAAGTGGCAAATGGCTCTAGTGTCTCTGCCAAGAAAATCCCAAGTGGAGTTATGGAGAGTTGGATACAACTGAAAAACAACAACAATTATAGTATGTGTGTGTGTGTGTGTGTGTGTGTGTGTGTGTGTATGTGCTGATTTTGTTTGGCTCACATAGATTACATACATCCACATAGGCCTTAATGATTTTGACAGGGAGGCAAGCATAGACATCTCTAACATCTTCTCCTCCTACTGTTCTCCAGAGGAGACTTTGATTGGGCTGGAATTAAATCTCTCTGCTCTCTTAGACTGTTAGTCTAGGAGGAATAACTAAGATTTAAACTAAACTCCTGACGGCTGTTCTTTAATGTCGAAACAAGAACCCCAAGCTCTCTATATCCATGGCTTGATCCCTTTCCCATCAAATACCAGTTTCACAACAAACATATACAGCAAAGAAACCCATTTATTCAAGTCAATAGCAAAACAAATTGGAAAACAGTGTACAGGGAAGAATATATACCAGAAAATACAGAACAAAGAAGTTCTTCCATTGGGAGAGAGATACCTCAGTTCAATAAAGAGAGAACATTTCAGATCTCACTCAATTGGAGGTTTCCTGAAGTTTTTAGGGAAGTAAGCTGGGGATAGAGACTGCCAGCTCCTCTCATGCCTTGTTCTTCCCAGGGTCTTTCCTTCCCTTCAGGGACCTGAAGAGAGGATGGAGTTGCACATCTTCTCTCTTGATGCAGGAAACCAGAAGATCTTAGGGTTTTTCTCTTCCACTTTAGCCAGCTCCAAGGTGTGGAGCACTGAATAGTCAATCTCCACCAATGAGGAGAGTCTCATACAATTGGCCCTTCAAGCCAAGGCCTGAATCAATGTACAGAATCAACTGAATGCAGATAATTAATATAATTGATAGTAATTAGAAAGGTTTGCCTAAATAGTCCAGGGAAATAAAGGAAGATGAGAGGTTAAATAGAGTAGGATAAACTGCCAAATTTAAACAACATAAATGTAATGAGAAACTACTGACACCATAAAATTGGCTTCTTATTTAGTGGCCTGTATTAAATCACATTTTTAGTTTGGAAGTAGAAGATACCACTAACTAATGATTCAGGACTGGGCTTGAATCAGGCTAGGCTCTTGGTAGTTTAGAATCAATATAGGAAGAAAATGAAACACTCATAGGTTATTCAGCAGTTAACAAAAGGAGATTTATTGTTATAGCATGGCAGGAAAAGGATCTCAACAAGGACAAGCAGTGAGGACACTTCAAGTTGATTCACCTGAGTGAATATCCCTTTCCCGAGTTGCTCCTCTTTTTTTCCACCAGCCTGGTGCTCTAGTACTCAGACAACCAGGAAGTGGTCAATAGCCTGATCCAACCAAGTCCGGAGTATAGTCTCAATACCTTTTAATGAAAAAATAGACTAACTTGCATGAGGACCGGCATTAGGATATTGCTTCAGTATGGAAATACTGACTAGGATCTAGAATTGAAGAAATTTGCCTGACACATTAATTCCACAATGGTTCTAAAAAACTCTTACTGGGTTAGAAAGATGCAGCTGCATTTTGGCTATAGAGAAGACAGGCTGGTAAAGGTGAGAGAAGTCCAAGTAATAACTAACTCAAGATTTTGGTGGTAGGGATTGAAAGGACTGAGCTATGTTGAGACTGAAGAAGTGGTTGGATTGTTGGATTTGGAAAAGAGCAATGAAAAGGTGAAAGTGATTGTGATGCTCAGTATCTCAGCAACAGTTAGCATTTCTGTAAATGCTAGGCTCTTTAAGACAACTATAGTTCAAATACAAATATATTAGTGGAAAAAAAGTGGTAACCTAATTAGAGATTAATTTGCTGAGGTCACCTGGTTAAGAGTTAAGATGTAGGCATAGCAGCTTCCTCCTGTTGCAGTCTGCATCCTACCCCTCTCCCACCAGTCTTTCAAACGTGTGGCTTTGATTAACAAAGACCTTGGGCTGGAGCATGGACTGGCTTTCCTTTTCCATCTTTTTACCCCCAGTACCTAATTTAGCTACTGGCAATATTTGAATGAATGAATTAATAATAGCTCCACGCAAGTCCTTACTGGGAAGATTAAATTAATTCTTATTGTAGTAATGGTGGATGAGTAGTATCATCGTATTGGAAGCATAGCATTCACAAAAAAAAAAATCACAATAAGGTAAACAGATTAAGAAGCCGGCTGAATCACGAGGGTACCAACTTTTAGGGTTGTTAAAGCATCGTAAGCTGATACCAAGCAACCAACAGCCTTGGAGTATATTACTTTTGGGGGGTTAAGTATATTTTGGAGGAAAAAGGAGATGCCACATAAAATGGAAAAATTAACTCAAAATATTCTTTACAGATGTGTTTTATTGCTGGAGATACGAGAAACTTAGGTCTAGAAAAGTGCTAGAAGACCACAATGCTAGTTAGTGGTAGAATAATAATAGATAAAATTTATATAGTACCTAATATGTGCCAGGCACTGTCCTAAGTGCTTTACAATTATTATCTCATTTGGTCTTCACAGCTATCCTGGGAAGTAGATAATATTATTTCCATTTTAGAAATGAGGAAACGCAGGAAAAGAGTGGTTCAGTGACTTGTCCAGAATCACACAGTTAGTTAAGCAGAACTGAGAACAGGATTCAGTGCAGCACTCTACCCTAAAAACCATAATGAATAAACGTATTTTTTCTTCCTTCCCTCATCGGGTGTGCATACCCTTCGGGGTTAAGCAGCGGTGGCAGGAGAAATGTATCAAGATTAATGAGAACCAAAAAAACAAGCAAATACATGCAAGCGCTCCGTCCAAAATAATTTCATCCCGGCCTGGGGGTGGAGCAAGTTATTGAGGCTGGTCGACTCCCCGCTGTCTCATAACCGGGCGGCTGCATAACCCAAAGAAGGACGACTTATTGAGAGTGCACGGACGAGGGCGAAGACCTGAAGGGAGGGCTTCAGGAACAGAGGAGACAGGACCGTCTGCCCAGACGTAGCAGGGAAAAAGACAGGAAGGACCACGTGTTGCAAGAAACGGAAGACTGAGAGCTGGAGGAGGCAAAGGAGCCCCGCCCCCGAAACGCAGCCTCGCGCGCTCGCCCTAGGGGCGTGGTCAGCCAATGGGAGGAGAGGGGGCGGTGCTCGGGAGTTGCGGCTGCGGCGGCTGTCTGGGCTCCTGCGGGCGGCCGGGCCCGCCTGTTCCGCTGCCACCGTCGTGCGTGGTGCTGGGGCGACGGAGCCGCGTTTAATCCCTCCCTCCCTCCGCTCTCCCCGCCTCCCGCTACCGTCAGCCCCGTCTCCCCGCGCGCCTGGGACCTCTGTGTCAAAGCCGCCCCCTCAGCAAGGTAAGGCCCCGTGGGGAGATCGCAGTTCGGGCGCGCCGGCCTCCGTCGCTTTCCGGGGCTGGCGTGCTGCCGGTCTGACCCGGGCGGGGCGGAATGAATGAGGAGCCGGCCCTCGGAGTAGGCCTCACGGCCTGGCTGGTCGCGTCCGTCCCCGGCCCGGGCGTGCGCACATGGGGTGGCAGGCAGGGTCTGGGGCCGGGGCACGTTGCCTCGCAGGCTGCCCTGTGGGAGCGGGATCTGGGGCGTGGGGGGCGGACAGGTGGAAGGGCCGAGGACCCGGCGGGGGGCCGCGGGGAAAGGAGCCGAGGGAACCCTCCGGTGAACCCCGGGAGAGCGGCTCTCGAGCCGGGACACAGGGTCCCAGAAGAAGGAACTCGTCCTCGTGATGAGAGCCTCAAATAAGTGACACGAGACAGCTGTGGGACCTAGTGAGCACCCAGTGCACGATCCCGTCGGGGGGAGAGGGAATGCACCGATCAGTCCTGGACTTGTGCAGTGACTGGCATCGATCAGACCAGCGAAACATAATGATGGATTGAATTTAGGGAGTAGGTTGTAGATACTAGGATTTGGAGCTCGAAATGACCTTAGGTCACAGGTAGAATAGGGGACCTTAGTTCCTGCAGCAGAAGAGCATTTCCTTTGGACATCAAGGGATGGATAACACATAAAGTTAGAAGGGACCAAAAGCTTATTTTTAGAATCTGCCCATATATGGGGAAGGTTTAGGTGTGGAGGTCAGAGTCCCTAGAATGGTGGCTCCTCAATATAATATGCTGAATAATGACGGTATAGGTAGGAACTAGTCTTATAGACGGGCTGACTTGCTAGTATTTCTTTTAATGCTTTCTTCTACTCTGTCTCACTTATTAATAGAGCCACATGTCAGGTTTGCAAATAGCCTAGCCATCACGCTGGTCCGGGAGGAGAGTTGTAGCTGAGTTTTTAAGTCTGTCTCAAGCTATTGGTGATAAAAGCCTTTCTAAGACTTCCACAGGAGTAGTTGCAGTTAGAACAATCAGATCTCTTGAAAGGACTTTCTTTAGTAAGCTATATACAGTTCTGTCATTTTCTAAGATTATTGTATTTCCTTCTTTATTGTGCTGTTGTGATGATTGTCTAAAAGCATGTCATACATTTGGTGGAATATGTGTATGTTTTGGTGGAGGGGACAAAGAAAAAAACCTTGATTAAATGTTACATTTTGATGTTTCAGATGCCCCCAAAAAAGGGAGGTGATGGAATTAAGCCACATCCAATCATTGGAAGATTTGGGACTTCATTGAAAATTGGTATCGTTGGATTACCAAATGTTGGGTAGGTGAACAGTGAGCTTTACTTCTTTTATTTACATCTTGTAAATCTTTTAAGTTTTAATGTTATTCACTTAACATACATAAAGTGCTTTGCAAACTTTAAAACATCATATAACTGTTACTTATTATTATTAGCTATTATACAGTTATCCCTTATACATTACTGGGGTTAGGGGTGTGGACCCTCGTGATGTGGAAAATCTGCCTAAAATCTTTTGGCCCTCCCTTCATACCAGAGAAGAAGTCTGGATTATTATGGTATTAAAAGATAAAATATGTTGATATATTTTGGGCATTTCTGAGTTTCTAAACGTTTTCTGTGTTATCTGCTGGCCTTTTGCTTGTCATCTCTGGCTTCTGCAAAACTCTCCAAAAATTCCCGTTTAATTTCTCATGCTGATTATATTGAAACCTTGATGGGGGGGAAAGTTTCGATGTGGAAGGGATAACTGTGTATCACAGGCAGTATGTGGTATAATGAGGTGGCCTTCCAGCTAGAAAGACCAGGGTTCAAGTCTCTCCTCTGACATACTGAATATGTAGTCAAGTTATTTGAGCACTAGGAAACTCTTAGACTTTAAGTTGCTGTGAAGGTTTTCACCTACATTGGTAGATGGAGTTTCCTTATCTGGAAATCCTTATACCAGGGAAATCACAAGTCCAGTCCCTATCCCTCTTATATATCAAAACTCAGGAAATAACTAAAATTTATAGTGTTGGTAGATGCTAAGATAGACAAATGTGAGTAGCCTGTGATGTAATTGACTTTATTTTAAGAATTAAATGACTATTGTGTTTGGATTTCTGCTTTTGTTCATGGGTGCTGTCAAAACTTATTTTGGCTTGGAAAAAGTTAACATTTCAGCAGTTTGAATTGCTTAAAATACTTTGTGGAAACATACACAAATGTATATTTATCTATAAATTGGGAAGCTTTAAAAAATGTGTAGGTACATTTTGCTTTGACATAATAGTTCTGGATTTGAAACTGGGGAGACCTAGCTTCAGATCGTACTTCACTTATTAGCTGTGTTATCCTAGGCAAGTTGCTTAACCTCTCTTGCCTAAATTCTTCATCTGTAAAATGATGAATTGTACTAGGAAGTCTCTTCTTACTGTGATCCTATAGACTTTCAAACTACTCTACAAAGTATATTCTTTAAAAGCTTTTCTACACTAAAAAGTATATTTTCTAACAATAGTTAAGCAAAACTGCCTGATAATTGTGCTCGTGACTGGTAATAGCTGTCATTTTCCACTTCAGTATGGTCTCTGGTTTTTAACAGGAGAAATGTATGCTTGACCTTTGATAATAGGGTTCTGTTGCATTTGACCTGAGTTTTGTTTCTATTAGTGTTGACTTTATTTACATTGTGGTGATCAGTATTGACATTGTACTTTTTATATTTTCTTTACTATAGAATTATGGAATCTAATTATAGAATTATAGGATTTAGACTTGAGGGAAGCTTAGGGGTTATCTGGTCCAACTGTCTCATTTTACAGATGAGGAAACTGAGGACCAGAGAGGTTAAATAATTTGTCCAGGGCAAACACTTACACAATAAACCAAAGACCAGATTTTCTGGATTGTATACACTGTCCTCTGTTGCTGCTTTGCTTCCTTACCACTCACTAATTTCTCAAACCTTTAAATCTGATTTTCAAACCTACCACTCTATGAATTCTTTTTTTTTCTAGCAGTCATCTTTTAACTGATATATGTGTGTATATGTATGTGTCTACTTATCTGTCTACTTACCTACCTACTTATCTGATAAATTGAGGTTGTTTCTGAGGGAAAGCACTAGAATTAAGGATGACTGGGAAGGGCTTCTTTTAGAAGGTGAGACTTTAGCTGAGATTTGAATCAAGTCAGGAGGTAGAGATAAGGAGGGAGGGTGTTCCATGCATGGGGGACATGTATAAGAAATAATGGAATTCTCTTAATGCACAGTTTATTTTTTAAAAGTCTTCAGTTAACAAGCATTTATGAAGCACCTACTGTGTGCTAGGCACTGTTTTTAACCCTAGCTGTACAAAGAAAGGCCAAAAAACAGTTCCTGCTTTAAAGGAACTCATAGTCTAATGGGGGAGATAATAGGCAAATGGCTCTTTATTTATTTATTTATTTTGCTTAGGCAGTTGGGGTTAAGTGACTTGCCCAGGGTCACACAGCTAGTAAGTGTCAACTGTCTGAGGCTGGATTTGAACCCAGGTCCTCCTCACTCCAAGGCTAGAGCTCTATCTACTGCACCATCTAGCTGCCCTTGCAAATAGCTCTTTACAAACAAAATATAAACAGGATATTGTACATTGGAGATACATCATCAATGGGAGGGCATTAGCATTAACAGGAAATTGGGAAAGGCTTGTATAAGGTGAATAGCTAGGACTTCAGATGAGCTAGGGAAGATAGGAGATGGAAATGATCAGAGAATATTACAGGTATGGAAGACACAATGAAAATGCTCAGAGTTGGGAGGAGTATCTTGTTTAATGAACAACCAGGAGGCTAGTGTCATTGGACTGGGGAGTATGTGGGAAGAGAGTAAGGTATAAGGAGACTGGAAAAATTGAAAGGGGCCATGTTATAAAAGGCTTTAAACTCCAGAGGATTTTATATTTAATCCTGGAGGTGATAAGGAGCCACTAGAGTTTATTATTCCTTATTTATAAAATGAGAGGGTTTGACTAGTTGACCTCTAAGGACTCATCTAGCTCTATATCTGTGATCAATGATGATCCCTTGCTTTCCTTAACAGTGGTCTTTACTGGGTTGTCAAGTGGGGAATTTCTTCATGCAAATCTTTGCATGTTTCTGTGAAATCTTTATAGTCATTACTTACAGCCCAGTAATATCCATTATGTTCATGTAGTATAGTTTGTCTTGCCATTTTCCAATTGTGGACATGTGTTTTTCTTTTGTAATTGCCTAGATCTTTAGGTTTCACATTACTTTGTAAATTCCTATTGGTCAAGAAAACAGATCTTAGAACCTGTACTTGTGAACCTAAGAAAATTTGGAGCTGTATATGGTTCAAGTAAAAGACGGCATAAACTCAATTATGACTAAGAATTATTTTGTGGGTTTATCATTCATTATATCTATTTGCTGATGTGTGTTGGTAGAAAATATTTCTGGAATTTTATTCATCTTCACGTGTATGCATCTTTTTTTTTTTGGCTAGGCAATAGGGGTAAGTAACTTGCCCAGGGTCACACAGCTAGTAAGGGTCAAGTGTCTGAGGCTGGATTTGAGCTCAGGTCTTCCTGACTCCAGGGCCGGTGCTCTCTCCACTGCACTATCTAGCTGCCCCATATGTATGCATCTTAAAGTTTCACTGCATTTTTTTCTAATTAGGACTATATAATGTTTTATTGAACTAAAAACTTCCACAAAAACCAGAGTGTCATAGAATGATTGTATAACAGTTAAAAGCAATCAATAGGGAAGTTCCAGCTAGGTAGGCTGTTTTGATGAAAGAAAAGCCATTTATTAACTATTTACTATGTGCAAAACAGTGTGAAGCACGGGGGGTACAAATAGAAAAGCACGATAGCCCCTTCTGTCGTGGACCTCACATTCTAGTAGAAGAGACAATACGCATAGCAGTGTTTAGCTGCAAGTCAGATAGAAAGACCAGTCATCTTTTGGGTGCAGTAGCAAAGCAATGGGCAGTATATCTTCTTTAATGTCATTTCCAATAATAAATCTGTTTCTGATGATGAACCACTTGACAGTGCCAAGGATATTAGTGTTAAGAATTTTTTGAGAGGGTTCTTCAATAGCGGTGGCAGTTGAGGAGGTAGAGGTGGTTGTTGCAGAATCTCTTGACCGGTTGCATGCATCTCCACAAGGTTATTCCCTGGAGTAATCTTGCTATGGCACTTTGCTGGCAGTAGAATTCATTTTTGGGAGGAGCGCTGTTGCTCCTGAGCTCTTGAAATTGTTATTAATGGTAGATGGATTGTGGTAGGGATTGGTGAACCTCTTCTTAGCAAGGGTTGCTCCTCTGGACAATAGCTGAGGGAGGCTGGTTGGCAGTAGGGTCAGTAGTCTGGAGGTTAAAGCAGTTCCCAGGAGCTTTTGGGTTTTGGGTCCTAGGTTCTCTCCAGGTTCTAAGGAGAGGTAGTAGTTGGTTTGATTTGCCTAGCACTTGCCACCTTCTGTTTCTGTCTTAGGATGCCTCACTGCCTCTGCTATGTTGGTTTGTTTATACTTTCACTGTAGCAGGTAGCAGGTAGCAAGATCAGCAACAAGAATGACCTTGACAGTAATCTAGTGCCCTTTGAGGCAGAGACTCCTTTATATGCTTTCTTCCCATGGGTATTGTGTAGGTAGAACTGGAGGTGAAGTGGGAGATGGCTGCAAGTAGGATAAGAGTATTGGGATGGAGGGCCAGGAAGCTTTTCCCAGGAAGCCTTCCCTTCCCTCTTTCCCCTTCTCTTCTTCCTTCCCTTTCCCCCTTCTCTCCCCCCTTCTCTTCCTTTTCCATTCCCCCTTCTCTTACTCCCCCTTTCCTTTCTTCTTCCTCCTTCCTCTTTCCCTTCTTCCCCTTCCTTTCCTTCTTCCCCTTCCCCTTCCTCTTTTGACCTTTCCCCCTTCTTTCCACCTTCTCCCTTCCCTTTCCCCTTCACTCCCCCTCTCCTCATCTGTTTTTGATCCTCTTTTTCCAGTTGATTGCTTTTGGAATCTTACTTATTCTTGGATTTAATTAACACCTCTGTGCAGATGACTCTAAAATCAGTATCTCTAGTGTTGACATGTCTTCTGAGCTGAAGACTTGCACCACCATGTGCTTTCAGAACTTCTCTCCTTGGATTTTCTATCACCAACTAAACATGTCTAAAATAGAGGCTATCTTTTTGCCTCCAGCCCCAATTCCTTCCTCTAACTTAATTATTTCTTTCCTTGATACTGCTATAGAGCACAGAATGTAGATCTGGAAGGACACTTAGGGGTCATCATCTAAGCACTTATATTCCATCTAGCTCATC